AACATGCAGCCTACAGGAGAACAGTAGGTAAAGTACAGTGGATGACATACACTCGTCCCGATATCAGCTACGCAACAAAGGAGCTGGCCAGAGCATTACAAGCACCAACGACGGCAGACCAACAAAAGCTGAAGCACCTTCTTAGGTATCTCAAAGGAACACAACACTACAGGCAGGTCATCAGACCAACAGCAAAGATACCTCCAACACAGATTCCAGACCTCAACATCTATGTGGACAGCGACTGGGCAGGTTGTCCAGAAACAAGGAGATCAACAACAGGTTTTCTCATCACACTACTTGGAGCTACAATCAACTACGGCAGCCGAACACAGGCAGCAATAGCACTGTCAAGTGCTGAAGCAGAGCTATACGCCATCAACACAGGAGCAACAGAAGCACTTCATTTGCGCAACCTCCTCATGGAGCTCTTCAACGTCCAGAAGGTCAACATCAAGATTCACACAGACTCGTCAAGCGGCAAGAGCATGGCAACAAGGATAGGATCGTCAAGAAAAGCAAAACACATTGACCTGAAACATCTCTTCATACAACAACTGATCTCACATGACATCGTGAGACTCAATAAGATTCACACAAACGAAAACCCAGCAGACATTTTCACCAAATACATCTCAACAGAAACACTCCACAGACACCTGCAGGCAGCTGGGCTCAACACCCAGCACCACATCCACTAGAGAGTGGATACAGCAACAGCAGTGTCACAACACCCGGGCAGCTAATGCACTATGCGCACGCGTGCACAACTGCGTGAGCAAACAATGCACACATAGACATACACACGGACGCGTTTGAGCCATGACCGATGTCATCAACAAACGTTGATGAACATCTCCCTTGTTTCGTTTCATCCAGTATTTCAACAAGATCTTTTTTTGGAATCCCAACATGGTGATCTATTTCGACTATCTGTGTCAACATCATTGACTTAGTCAATATGATTTTCTTTTTGCAGGATGACTTATTTCAACAAGATCCTTCCCAACGTGAAGGTCAACATGTCTTGTGACGCATGATGATGTCAACACCGTTTGTTGACAACAGTGGTGTATTCAAACTTTTTTGTGCAGCCATTTTTGTGTCAACAGAACTGCTCACTCAACAGTTGTGGGCACTCAACAGGATGGTTCCTCGACATCTTCAACATGCTCAGCTGGTCAAACAACTTCATTTGGAGTTACAACACTCCTGTGAATTTGTCAACCGTTGGAGATGAGATCCCACAACATCTCATCTATATGCTTCAACAAGCCATTCAGTACGGTGGCACTCAACAACTGGAATTCTTGCCAGAGGCAACAAGGACCAAATTCAGGATGGTCCTCAACAAGTGGCATCCACTCCTTGAAGGAGGACAACAATTCCAATACTTTGGTGTGAAGACACCAGAGAGGTTGAGGGGATCTTCAACACTGGCAACATGGCTGATGGAGCAATCAACAGATGAGCACCTCCAACAGCACTTCGATGAAGTGAACAAGTATCGTGTGCCAACCGACATGGAAGACAACATGGAAGAGAACGACGCAGAGTGATCAACAATGATCACAACAGGGATGGAGCTCAGACAACATCCCGGTGCAGAAGCACCAAAACAACAGAGCCCTGCGCGACATGGCGCTCAACACATGAGAGCTTGAAGTGCGCATAATTAAGCAAGTGTTTTTTCGTCCAACACCTGCGGCTGCAACAGGTGTATAAAGATAACCAAGCCATCGGCATTTGTACAGAGGATGAACCAACACTCATGCATGAGTAGTCAACATAATGCTGTTTCAGTTTCAACATGTTTATAGTTTCAACATTAGTTGCGACATTTAGTGAACACAGACCCATGTAGAATATGTAGTCAACATCTGCTGGCTAACATAGCCAACATCTGAGGGGTCGTGTCAATGTACATATTCAACATGTCATATCAACACTGGCCTGTGGTTCAAGGCCCTGAGTCAACTCCTGTTGACAACATACAGATTGAGTGCGTGCAACAGCAAAAGGTGCCGACAGTTGCAGCTTGACAACAGTGCTTGAAACACCTCGCACTTTTACATGTATGTATGTAGGCTAAGTATGTATGTAGGTGGGTAGGTATGTCGGTATGTAGGTATGTAGGTATGAAGGCATGTAGGTAATATATATATATATGTATGTATGTAGGTATGTAGGTAGGTAGGTAGGTACGTAGGTAGGTAGGTAGGTGGGTAGGTAGGTAGGTAGGTATGTATTCATGTAGGTTTGTAGGTTTGTAGGTTTGTAGGTATGTAGGTATGTAGGTATGTAGGTATGTAGGTATGTAGGTATGTATGTATGTATGTAATAGGTAAGCATGTAGGCATGTAGTAGGTAGGTAGGTAGGTATGTAAGTATGTAGGTATGTATGTAGGTATGTATGTAGGTATGTAGGTACGTAGGTATTTGTAGGTATGTAGGTACGTACGTACGTATGTGTGTATGTATGTATGTATGTATGTAGGCTAAGTATGTAGGTAGGTGGGTAGGTATGTCGGTATGTAGGTATGTAGGTATGAAGGCATGTAGGTAATATATATATATATATGTATGTATGTATGTATGTAGGTATGTAGGTAGGCAGGTAGGTAGGTAGGTATGTGGTATGTATTCGTGCAGGTTTGTAGGTATGTATGTATGTATGTATCTGTGTATGTATGTATGTATGTATATATGTATGTATGTATGAATGTATGTATGTATGAATGTATGTATGTATGTATTCATGTATGTATGTATGTATGTAATAGGTAAGCATGTAGGCATGTAGTAGGTAGGAAGGTATGTAAGTATGTAGGTATGTATGTAGGTATGTATGTAGGTATGTAGGTACGTAGGTATTTGTAGGTATGTAGGTACGTATGTACGTACGTACGTACGTACGTATGTATGTATGTAGGCTAAGTATGTAGGTAGGTGGGCAGGTATGTCGGTATGTAGGTATGTAGGTATGAAGGCATGTAGGTAATATATATATATAAATGTATGTATGTATGTATGTATGTAGGTAGCTAGGTAGGTACGTAGGTACGTAGGTACGTAGGTACGTAGGTACGTAGGTAGGTAGGTAGGTAGGTATGTATTCGTGTAGGTTTGTAGGTATGTATGTATGTATGTACGTAGGTAGGTAGGTATGTATGTATGTATGATTATGTATGTATGTATGTATGTACGTATGTACGTATGTATGTATGTAGGGTGGATGGTATGTGTGATGGATGTTGGGTGCTACGTTGCAGTACCTCGCTCGTACTTGCACAGACCCTTGCTGCCACGTTATAAGATCATTTCTGGTACGTGCACAGGCAGTTGATGTTACGAGTACGTTACATGACCTTCCATTGCACACGTGCAGGCAGTTGATGCAACGTTAAAAAGAGGTTATCAGATCTACTCTCCTACTTCCATAGGCGTTTGATGCTACGTTACGCGATCTTGTCTTGTCTTGTAAGTGCGCAAGCACTTCATGTTGCGTTCCAAGACCTTCCGTTTTACATGCGCAGACACCTGATGGTCTCTGAAGGGATCTTCTCTTGTACTTGCACACACACACACTTGGTGCTACATAAATAGACCTTCGCTTGTTCTTGCACAAACATTTGAAGTTATAAGATGTTATAAGATCTTCTCTTGTACTTGCTCATTTGCACAAACGCTTGGTGCTACGTTAAAGGATCTTCCCTCGTTCTTGCACAGACACTTGATGCTCGTTACAGGGTGCTGGGCTACCGGGGGTGGACCATACCATCAGGGGGCGGTACCGGGCCGCAGACTGGGAGAATATATGGCGCAGCCCGCTGAATCCGAAGACCAGCACGCGCGTACAAACTTGTTGCGGGCAAAACTAGGGCTTGTACATCCAAAGCCGCTCCGCACTCATTTCTTGCATTCGTGCGCTCTTTGTTTGACTCTATTGATGGTCGAGCGGTTGAAGTAGAACAAGTTGTTAATCAAGTAGATGGGCAGCTTGGCGGATGGAGAGATTGCTGTTTAGAGAAAGAAAAATGGTGGATAGCTACAGATGGGTGGGCGTGTGGATGGATAGCGGGATTCGCTGGACGGTCAAAAGCTTGCGAGCACCTCTGGAGATACTTGTGCGTTGCCTTGTGTGCCGGTGTAAGCTGTGAAGTGTTGTCCCGGTTCTCAAATCTTGCAAAATTGCCATCGTACATTGGGGGCGTTCGGTTGAAGCTAGGGCAGCTAGGGTTTCTGCCGGCTATCCGATGCCATCCTGTCTCGTTTGGAAATCCCACGCCCGATTGGGGATGTTGGTCAAACCCTCTTCCTGGTGCGACCTTGTGCAATACTTGAATTTGTTGCTCCTCATTGTTGCAACGCTGGTCTGCCAGGGCCGCTTCCCAAAGCTCCCGGCTGCCGATTTCTTGTGCAACGGCATACTTGCAGGTTCCTGCTGGGTGCTCCATCACCCTGTGACAGTGACGGCTGGGCTGTTGAGGAACTGTGCGCGCATGTTTTTGTCGCGTTAGGTTCAAATTGGCCCATATTGGCCAAATGTGCGCCTCCATTTTGTACCCTCGCCAATCTGGGCACTCTACAATGTGAACAAGTTGGTTGGAAGGTTGGGTGGGTGGGTGGGTGGGTTTCTTTTTTGATTTTGATGTTCATGGATGGGTGGATGAATGGATGGATGCCTGCATTGATGCATGCACACGTGCATGGACGGATGGATAGACGGACGGATGGGCTGGTGGATTGATGGATTGCTTGCTTCCTTGCTCGCGTGCGTGCTTGCGGGTGTGCTTGCTTGTTTTCTTGTTTTCTTGTTTGCTTGTTTGCTTGCTTGCTTGCTTGCCGGCTTGCTTGCCGGATTCTTTGATACAACGCGTCGGTCGGCTCAATCAAAGCACGTGCGACCACGTGTGACATAAAAAGCAAACAAGGATGTCGACTATTGTCGACTCCAATGTACTTACCTGGCACACCCTGTCACACTACAACGCCCCTACCTCTTTGGCCTGCTTCTGGGAAAAACCACTTCGGAACTTCCCAAATCTTTCCAGCCAGACGGAAGCGCATCCGTGGGTGGCATGCTGGATCTAGATCCCCATCCTTCCAAACCGCATGGCTTTCCAAGCACGGGTTCTTGCAAATCTGCCCCCTCTACTTCAAAAAACGCTAGTTTGTTAAGCCCACGGAATGCAAGCGCCACCACTTTGCAAAAGTGTTCCCTTTCCTTGGCCGGAACCACTTGCACGCAGTGGCCACGGGCGTTTCTGCGCCCAACGCCAGCCCAGAAGTATCCAACTGATTGGCCTGTCACAAGTTTCTTTTCCTCGTGCTGCCAAATATTTGCGTCCATGCAATGACCATGACGCAGCGGTAGCACATGCTTTACACTTCAAAACTTGGCCGCCGGCGCTGCCACAGGAGCTAAAGCATGATTGTTCAGGAACTTGTGCTTGAACTTTTTGGCCGCAGGTGGACTGACGCATTTGTGGTAACTGTGACACACAGTAAACAGCCAAACTGCCGTTGGCCCCGCCTTGGGCTACACCATTTTGGCGCAAGTCTTTTCTGCAATGTGCCAGTTGGCGATGGCCAGGTGCCGGCATCCATGGCTGCTTGTTGCAAACCCTGCCCCCACCCGCGCCCCCTGGATCCAAACACGATTTAAAACATGTCAAGCGAACCTAACCTGGAAGATACACTGCTTGCCGGCAATCGCATCTGTGCCAAACCGAACTGTTCCCAAAATATACAAATCTCAATTGCTCGCACCACGGGTCTGAATGGGGACCGGGGCTCTGATGCGGAACTCATGGCTGCGTTCGAGTGGCCAAGACGTGTGCTGAATGGCATGTCCGACCCGGAAGGCACCCGCCACATGCCAGCCAGTATAAAATTTATTCCCGTTCTAATTTGCAATCTTATATTGACATATCGCTTTTGCCTCTGACAACAATGACGTTCCGCGCACCTATGCTCTTCCAATTTCAAACGCGTTTTGCGTCTTTGACTCTCTCGTTTGAACTTGTGCAGTGATTTCAATGCACTGCGACTGTATGCGTATGTCCATGTCCAAAGCGTTTCCTTACTTCAGCCCGCCCGTTCATCATTCCACGCACTTGTTTCCTGAATCTGCCTTCCTGCTCACTTCCTGCTCACTTCCTGGTCACTTCCTGCTCACTTCCTGCTCAAATCCTGCATTGAAAACCGCTTGACTACTTGCAGTCTGGAACAATAGGGTTGTTGTTCAAGACTTGTCTGGAGGAATAGGTGTTGACATTGTTCTCGTCTTCGCGGGTTTCACTGGCTCGGACTCGCCGTGTTCCTTTTTGAATTTATGTAGTTCTGGTATGTTCTGGCGCGGCTGGCGCCAGACTTTGGATACTTTTGATCTCTGTGGCAGGTGCGGTGCGTGGTGCGTCTTCTAAAGCGTCGTGCGCGGGCAACCCTCTGTTCATTGCCTGCTCGTGGGGTCGCTCTCGTTGTGGGGCGGCGCTAACCTGGACATTGCTCGCGCAACACTCTCCGCACTTTGCGGTCGCTTGCTCAGTTTGTTTGTCGCCACGTTTGATTTACTTCTCTCGCAGGGATCCTGTTACAGTGTAAGTTCCTTGGCAAGGCCATCGTACAGCAATCCTGTGAGGTTTTGAGGCGATGAAAACAACGATCTTGTATAATCCCTTCCTCCTAATACAAAACGCCCCCCCCTATTAGTAAACACGGCAGGTAGTTTTTAGTATTAGGGGATTATTTATTATTCGGGAACCCTATTAATAAAATTAAACAAACTAAACCCTTAAGAATAAACACTATTTTTTCCGATCTCAAAATCAACTAATTTTCTTTATATAACGCGATTAAAATATGGCCAAAAATTGGATTTCGAAGCTTCCCCCTAATATTAAATTAAAACCCTTAATAGTAAAAACTATTTTTTCCGACCTCAAAATCAACTAAATTTCTTTAAATAACGCGATTAAAAATATTGCCAAAAATTGGGTTTCGAAGCTTCCCCCTAATATTAAATTAAAACCCTTAATGATAAAAACTTTTTTTTCCGATCTCAAAATCAACTAAATTTCTTTCAATAACGCGATTAAAATATTGCCAAAAATTGGATTTCGAAGCTTCCCCCCAATATCAATTAAAACCCTTAATAATAAAAACTATTTTTTCCGATCTCAAAATCAACTAAATTTCTTTATATAACGCAATAAAAATATTGCCAAAAATTGGATTTCGAAGCTTCCCCCTAATACTAAATAAAAAACCTTAATATAAAAAACTAAAAAATCAGACGGACCCTAATAATAAACACCCCGGGGTGAACTAGTTTTTAGTATTAGGGGGGAAAACCCACAAATGATATGTTTATTTTTAAATTGTGTTCTAAAGGGGATCAATCAAAAATCAAATAGGCAAATCTGAAATTTTCTGAAATTGGAGATGGACGCCTGTTTTTCGTATTTGGGGGACGTTTAGTATTAGGAGGAAGGGATTATTTTGTCATTCCCGCGAGCAGATCTTTATGCAGAAACCCTATGCTTTCCCTGCCGGGATCCTTGTACAACGAAGCATGGGGTTTCGAAAAAATGAAAACATGTTGGTTGATTTTTTCATTGTGATGAGGTGAAGGGACCCTTCCGCAGAGATCCTTTGTGTTGCATGACAGAACGAAATCCTGTGAGCTCCTTGAGACAAACACTGGTACAGAATTTTAAGTTCCGGCAAAGGGCATTTGTAGAAAGATATTGATCTTGCCGGTTCCCTCAAAGGCGTCCTTCTTAGAATCTTGTATAGAGACCCAGTAAGGTTCTTGAGGGGCCCTCGTACTGAGGTCCCGTGAGCTCTTTGAAATGGCATAGATTCTGCAAATTGTGCCGGAATCCTGTGAGTTCGTGCAAAAACCCGGCGGCTTTCAAAATCACTTTATTTGGAGTGATTCCCACCGCGGAATTTTAGGCAACTGTTCACATTCAATGTGCGCAACATAAGATGGAGCAGAAAAGTGCGACAATGGCAATCACGACCGCAACCCTTTTTTCAACTTCACTGGACGTGCTCGTTTGCAGCGTCTCCGCTGCACTGAACCTGTCATGTGGCTGCTGCGCAAATACCAACTCCTATCGAAAGATCACGCCTCGGTTTCCAAAAGGCTGCGCTCCTTTTCTTCTATGTCTTTTTCATTGATCTGTATCTGCTGTAGCTTCCGGGGAGGCATTCTATCCGTTGTTTTCCCCACTGTAGCCAAATGTTTCTGACCCGCAGGGAACCGGGAGTGCCCTTGTCTCTTTTCCGATCTTATCCTCTCCCCTTTTCTCCTCCTTTTCTTCTATATTGTCCCTTACCCTTCCTTTTCTTCTATGTCTTTTTCATTGATCTATATCTGCTGTAGTTTCTGGGGAGGCATTCTATCAGTTGCTTTCCCCACTGTAGCCATATTTTTCTGACCCGCAGGGAACCTGGAGTGCCCTTGTCTCTTTTCCGACCTTATCCTCTTCCCTTTTCTCCTCCTTTTCTTCTATATTGTTCCTTACCCTTCCTTTTCTTCTATGTCTTTTTCATTGATCTATATCGTCTATATCTGCTGTAGTTTCCGGGGAGGCATTCTATCAGTTGTTTTCCCCACTGTAGCCATATGTTTCTGACACGCAGGGAACCTGGAGTACCCTTGTCTCTTTTCCGATCTTATCCTCTTCCCTTTTCTCCTCCTTTTCTTCTATATTGCCCCTTACCCTTCCTTTTGTTCTATGTCTTTTTCATTGATCTGTATCTGCTGTAGTTTCCGGGGAGGCATTCTATCAGTTGTTTTCCCCACTGTAGCCATATGTTGAACCTGGAGTGCCCTTGTCTCTTTTCCGATCTTATCCTCTTCCCTTTTCTCCTCCTTTTCTCCTATATTGCCCCTTACCCTTCCTTTTCTTCTATGTCTTTTTCATTGATCTATATCTGCTGTAGTTTCCGGGGAGGCATTCTATCTGTTGTTTTCCCCACTGTAGCCGCGTAGCCATATGTTTCTGACCCGCAGAGAACCGGGAGTGCCCTTGTCTCTTTTCCGACCTTATGCTCTTCCCTTTTCTCCTCCTTTTCTTCTATATTGTTCCTTACCCTTCCTTTTCTTCTATGTCTTTTTCATTGATCTATATCTGCTGTAGTTTCCGGGGAGGCATTCTATCAGTTGTCTTCCCCACTGTAGCCATATGTTTCTGACCCGCAGAGAACCGGGAGTGCCCTTGTCTCTTTTCTGTTCCTTACCCTTCCTTTTCTTCTATGTCTTTTTCATTGATCTATATCTGCTGTAGTTTCCGGGGAGGCATTCTATCTGTTGTTTTCCCTGCTGTAGCCATATGTTTCTGACCCGCAGGGAACCTGGAGTGCCCTTGTCTCTTTTCCGATCTTATCCTCTTCCCTTTTCTCCTCCTGTTCTTCTATATTGTTACTTACCCTTCCCTCTCTTCTATGCCTTTTTCATTGATCTATATCTGCTGTAGTTTCCGGGGAGGCATTCTATCTGTTGTT